ACTAAACAATATCAGCTCACCAAGAAAAATGTTTTTGCCTGTAGTCTGGTATCCCATTGCATCTCACTGAACTAATCGCAAAAGAGGTGGAGGAGCTCCGACAGGATAAATCTGACATACTGCGAGCTTTGGAAGCTCCACACTATGACACGTCATCTCGTGCAGCTCTCATAGGGGCTAGCTCAGTCAACATTGGTAAGGATTGAGTTAAAGACTTTGAGAGAAAATGGGTTGCAAATCTCATAGAACACAAGAATCGATGTACCAAAATACGGCAAGCTTCGCTGATGGCTTACGATGTGTCACGTAACTTGGTGAGATCGATGCAGCTGAGTTTCGTTTTGATAAGTAAGCCTCCTGGCAGGTCAGCGCAATGGCAGGGTCTGTTGCTGTGCTTTGTGGATGCACCTTCAGTCCCGTGAAAGATTCGTGGTATGTTCTGAGGCGTAGACCCGTGCAGGTTTTCAAACATCTGAGCTCAGCAACTTGAAGAACGATCTGTATACATGTGGATATCCGGTAGGAGTTTCTACTCGTGATTCTCTCATAGAGTGCACCTCTGCAGTTTCATGCATACCAAGGTCTATATGGAATCTACGAGGAGCTGTGGGAGCTGGTGAAGCTAGGTGAAGAACGTGACGTCCTTGCGTACGCGAATCGCCCTCTCAATATTTCGTGTTGCCCAGCTACGAGCATGTGTCGTTTGAACTGAAAATTTTCCTCCACTCAACTGTCAGGGAAGATGAAATTTTTATACATCCCTCTTTCATTGAGTTCACTCGGCTTGGAAGTCGCTGAGATACATAGCATCCGGAGCTGTATTTGCTCGATCTATATGTTGAACGAATCATCCTGGTCTATTTGGATCATTCAACATACAGACCAACCTGAGTCCCTGAGATTACTGATTCTCATGATTTCTACGCTCCCTGACTTGAATTTAGTCGCTGAACAGTCGGAGCTATGCCATCGTGATGAGCACCTCGATTTGTCGCTCGTCGGATGCAAATTTCGTATTGCGACGTCGGCTCGTAGGAGCCATCGTCCTATCTTATATGAAGTTCATTAGCTTCCTTCGACTCTTCGTAGAGTTATGTTTGTGTAGTGTAGTTGTCTTTCTGCTCAAGTTTTATCTCATTGGAATGGCCATCAGGAACCACATCAATATATTTGTTTCCCTTGGAGTGTGCCTCCTTATCTCAAAGGCCAATGGCATGACTCTCAACCACAGGGCGGGTGAGGTAGGAATTACATCTGCCCAGTATGAGGCTCCCATACTGAGAGAGTAGTGTCGCAAGAAACTCGATATGTTCTAGGTTACAGGAGGTACTTTCTCAATGCGTTTAACCCTCGACATGGAGGCTTTGCCCTTTCTGTAGCGCCTGCTCAAATTCATATCGTATACGATGTGGGGCATATCAATGTCTTATCCACCTCAGGGTCTATGTCTGCCTTTCGACCCAACCCTAGTTTTTGCAGGTGACCGCTCACTTATAGAGGCTATTAAAAGAATCGGACGAGCATGAGCTAATACGAACTATTCACGACTATGAGGTGTCCCTCACAGAATTTCTGGGCTGAGTTTTGCTCTGGAAATCCTGTCTCTAATAGATAGTTTCGCCAGGCTATCCTGCCAATGATTCTGTTCATCAATCTGATCCTTTTGATAACTCCCAGCAGTTCGCATGGTTCAGAATATCAAATAAACCTCAATAGGATGTCTACTATCCCCGAAATGTCGGGAGCGGAACCTGGGCTGCCTGTGAGATTAGAGAGAGTTCTTTCCGTACTAAACATTATAATGTCTGTTTAGGATATCAACGTTAAGTTAGGGGCCCTAACTTAGGGCTACGCCTGAGATTGTATGACTTGTTACTACGCCTTCACATGTAGTTCCATTATCCTCCTGCGGCCAATTACGACCTCTGGCGCGATACGCAACTCCACAGACTCCGCGAGCAGCAGCAGAGAGTGACTAGAAATATCAAGTCACAAGCTGCACAGATAAGGCTCTTCCCAAGAATGCAAGAGTATTCCGAGTGAGCTGAGCTCACTGAGCTTGTGTCAAAATTGTGCCATTGGCCCCATGGCACGGGGCTCATGTTGTGTCGCGCAGCATCTCATCTCTGCTCAGTATTACGAAATTGGCATTGAGCGATAATGATCTTTGGAGTACGCTGGTCGCCGTATCCAGAGATCGCGGATCTGGCAGTGAGACGAGAATGATCCTGGGCCAAAGTAACCACGCTCGAGGAAAAGTCTCCTTGAGAGGCTCTTTAAAAACCGTACCTAGCGTTCAATGATCGTGATAGTTGTC